TGGGGGGAGCGTCGCAGCTAATTGGCCAAACAGTTTGGCGCCAAAATGGGCAAAATACAATGCAAATTTATGCATAATTGATATAAGTCCAACGCAAAAAAAAAAAACAAAGCAACAGCCCCCCTACCCTGAAACACTCTGCCAGTATTTAAATCCACCAACTCATCCACCACCCACCCCGGGAGTTGCCAAAAGCAAAAGTAATTGTAGACTCTAAAAAGTAACCATGTAATACCTGAGCATATTTAGTCCGTGAAGGATAAATGTATATAAAATGAGCAGTGAAAAGTTGGTGTTGGCATGCCAATGCATTCCAGCCAGCCAAGTCCACTCACTCACCCTTCGACCACACTACCAAAAGCGGACTTTAAAGGCGAGTGCCATGCCATGCCATACTCCCATCCCCAATCCCATTCCCATCCCTGCTTCCAGCGAGGTAAACGAAAGCTTGCTTATGCATCAATTTTTGATTAATTTTGCATTGTTCTGAACAGCAGAAAGATGTTTGTGGGTGTGCTCAGAGTGCTCAGAGACACAGGCCATCGATGGCACTCAGTTAGGAAAGCATCAGAAACCAATGACCCCCAACTCCTGGCCTACTGGCATAGGAATCAAAAATCCATTGAATATCTCCCTGTGCTCCCTGTGCTCCCTGTGCTCCCTGTGCTCAAGTAATGGCATAATATAATGTGGACAAACTGGCGTCATGCAGGTGCATTCCAATCCAATCCAACCCAACAGGACTCACAGGGAAGACTGCTTAAACGTCTAAACAAAATCAGAAGGAGCAGCAACAGAAACAGGAAAATATTCCTGCTTAGCTGATTTATTTTTCTCGCTGTGCAATACTCGGACCGTATCAAATTAGGGCGATGAAACTTAAATTTCCCTTTTTCCCCTATACTTATATACATATATATTTTTGGTTTGTGTCACTCTGGAAATATTTACTGAAGACTTTGGCATTGGTCGAGTCCTGCACCCACGTACCAGGGTCAAAGGCTTCTCGATAAAAGAGTGTTAGGGCGGTCCGGGGGAGGTCCGGGGGAGGTCTAAGGGGCAGCTCGGGAAAAGTGGCTGGGGCTAGACCTCAGGAGGCGGCGGCGCTTTACCCATTTGTGGGAGCTGTGTGCACATTTCTATTCATTTCCATTGCACTCATTCACGAAGTAAGCAAAATTAAAGTACGTGACCCTTTTGCGATGCGATGCAATTTTTATGGATGGGCCATGGGATGGGCCACGGGATGGGGCACGGCACGGCATGGGATGGGATGGGATTTGGTTTGGGGTATTTTATAAGGGGAGCTGCAGAAAAATACATCGGAAAATACATCCTTCTGTCCTAAAGATGGACATGGACATGGATATGGGTCAGGTATGCTGGCCAAGATCAACATCATGACGAGGACCAGGACCAGGACCAGGACCAGGACTAGGACTAGGACTAGGACCAGGATGAGGACGAGAAAAAGCTGACCTCGGGCATTGCATTATATTTCTATGAAATATTCATTAACTCGATATTCATTAGGATGCCGCCGCCTCGTTAGGGTTAATGGCGCCAGTGGTGGCCCCACCACTGCACTGTCTCTACTATTCTGCACCCTCCGACACCCCAAACCCCACCCCATCCCACCTCCCCCAAGTCGCTTTCCATCGTTTGCCCATTGCTGTAATTATAGTGAGCAAAGGGCAGGCCCAGAGACGGAGACGGAGACGGACACGGATACGGATACGGAGACTGCGACCCAAAGGGGAGAAGTTGCATGGTACCGTACCCCGCTATGTAGGTCAAGCATCCATGCTCCTGAATCTAGTTCTGGATGTGGCTCTGTCTCTGGCTCTGTCTCTAGCTCTGGTCCTGCCTCCGGCTCTGGTGGGTCTCCAGTTCGGTTAAGGGGTTAAGTCTCTGGTTGCTGCTTCACGATATCCTTCCTGCAGCTGCGTGCTTTGCATGGCTGCCAACATCCACTGCTACTCGCACAGATCCAGCCATAGAGCCCCACAGACCCACAGTAACTCCTTCTGCTCAGTCTACTCCAATCTGACTGGGCGCTAATCCACTTTAAACAAGCATACATCACACTTATACTTATACTACAAACAGAGACAGAACGCAGTAGAGAGAGAGCGAGAGAGTGAGAGTTGGAGACTGCAGTCCGTGTGGAAGGTTAATAGGTTGTGGACTGTGGACTGTGGGCTGCCTGGCTGGCTGGCTGGCTGGCTGCCCCGGATTGAGGGATGGCGCACCGCTCCCAGACCCTGAACAGACAAGCTACAAATATAAGAGATACAATTATGCACAAATACGAGTACGAGTGGAAACATATATGGAAGATATGGATATGGAATTGGAGATGCAGATATCGCTGATTTGAGCTCGGAGAAATTCTGGAGCCTCTTCGAATTTTCTCAATGGTCGTGCAGTGGGCTAAAATCTATCCATGTATCGGAATCAGCGCTTGGAACTTGGGCACTGTGAAAGGAATAGTAGCCGCTGATGGCTTCGCTGTTGCATGTTGCTATCATTTTTGGTTCTCTGTGGAGTAATAGAGTTTTCAATGTCCCAATACTGTTCCTATTCCTATTTCCTATTGCTATTGCTATTCTAAAAATATTTTAACAAATTGCTTGGGTCTCTTGTTCGTCTTTCCAATGCTCTTGTTTTGGTGTTAATAAGCTTGCCTGTGGTGCCTGGATTTTCTTTCAATGTATGCGTTGTGTACAAAAATGCTTAACCTTTAACCTTAGAGAGTTTGCTGGCACCATCAGCCCGCGCGACCTTGCATGGAATCAAAAATGCTGCCAAAGCTCGCATTGATCCATAACTTGGTTGGTTGGCTGGCTGGCTGGCTGGCTGGCTATATCCTGCTGGCTCCAATCCCCACTCTCACCCGCTAAATCTGCCCTTCTCCCTTTCAGTTTTCCCTCCCTCTCTAGCTTTCTCTATCCATATGCAAACATTAACAGAATATACAACAACAGCAACTAACACAACACACCATTCAGAAATATTAAAGAAAAGAGCTGAGGCCTTTGATACCCTCCCTTCTCGGATCGGCTGTTCCCGGTGATGTCCATCGCCCATCGTGAAGAATGGATCCCCATTTTTGGGGATGCATGTAGCAAAGTAAAATACTTGGGAGCCGGAACACCATTTACTCTTTAAATTGGAAGCTGGAAGTTGGAGTATGCTTAGAGCCCACCTCTCTCAGTTACAAGTAGCTGCTCACAGTCGTTGGACCCTCTGGCAGTGGTATGTCTAGTAGGTAGTAGGTATACCAACGACAACTTTCGAGTGTTGGTCTCGTGTTGACTTTTCTGAAAGGTGTGACAATATTTACAATGTCTTGTTAATTGAATTTAATGCGTCTCCTTTCTCTCTGTGTGTGTGTGTGTGTGTGTGTGTAGGTGTCCTTTTTGGTGTGTGTGTGTTTTTTTTTATTTTCTCCTACCCATGCCCACACGGCTCATCCTTGCCAAGTGAGCCAAAGTGAATGACTTCCTCTCTAAAAACCTTCACATCAATCCCGGACTCCGGCGGTATGTCGCGAGATATTGCCTCACCGGAGGGAGAAGCACGTAGGCACCGTCCCGTCCCGTCCCGTCTATCTTTAGCGACGCAGTTTTCAAGTCATATTGTGGCCACTTTTCAGCTGATTGTCCCAGATTTGCCGTTGCGACCTGCCGATCTTGCTGGAATCTTTGACATTCCAAGCAACAATGCTCCGCGTCTTCGACGACGGCGACGCCCGTGCAGAGCACACTAAAGGGGCAGGCAGGCTCCAAAGCATCCATGTCCATGGCTACGGCTCAGCCAATTCTGCTGCTGGTCTGGTACTAGCGCCTATGGATCCATCGACCTTTGGCTGCCATTGTTATAATTATCCCACGAGCCTTGCCATTGCAGCACTTATTCTGCGTTGCCTTGCGGCTTCTACTGCCAACAGATGGATTTGTGTGCGAGTGTGCATGATGAAATTATACGTATTATGTGCATATGTATATTATGTGCGCATAATTGCATCATGTATATTCGTCTGTGTGTGTGTGTGTCTCATTTCTCCAATTTTTTGTTGTTTGTTTTTCGAGTGTTTTTGAATTGAAATTATTATTACATATTATTAATATTCAGACGGCACAAAATCTAAATTAAAAAAAATTATTATCGGTAATAAAATTTAGACGGCATGTTAATTCACATTACTACTCGTATCATTAATATTCATAATTTTAAATGTGACTCGACGCATCATGTGCAGTTGATTAAACATTACACTCCACTTCTCGCTCCACAGGATCCTCGCTGCTGTGCCCGGGCCCAACCACGACCACCCACTCGCCCGGGCACAGCTCCGCAACGGTGTCCCTGGTACCATTTTCAAGCTTAGCTTAGGTCAGGTCATTGATAAGAAATTTTAGCCCGCGAAATGGTGCCGATGCTTTTCCTGACAGCTTGAAACAAGTTGAAACAAAATTGAAACAAGTTGAAACAAATTGAAACGTTACACAAGTTTCACGGCGGCGAGCTTCTGTATCGTTACATCGAATTCCCAGTATTATGACATTTAATAGGCGCCAGTAGGCGCCAGTTGCGCTAAAAACTGAAATGCATAGTTCCAAAAGAAACCGTCTACGGCGCTTTAACATTATCAACTATACATTTCAGCTTTTGTCAGCAACATTTGGCGCGAAGTTCAAATATGATAAAGCTTATATTATATTTACATTATGATTATATTTACACCTAGATCTTTTTACTTTAAATTTAATGAGTGCAAGCATAAAACAACATTACAAAATTAAGAGCACTTCCAAATTTCTGAAAAAATATATGTAGTAATTTTATAAAGGTTCTGCTGAAGCATAGCCAGGGGCTTATGAAAACCCATATTTTCCCTAGCTGTATGCTCAGAGTTAAGCTGTAATGCCCGATTAATAGCTGCATTAATTAACAATTCCGATTATTGCTCTTTAAACATAATAAAATTATTCCAGAAAATGTAAGCCCACCACTTAAACTTGGTAAATTGGCGTAGCCCTGACAAGCAGAAACTACATATGTATGTATGTATATTCAATATTGAACAAAGGATCCGATGTTACAATAATTTTGACCAGGTTCAGCTCGAACTCTTCATCGAATAGCTCAGGGCATAAATAATTCAGCAAACGGAGATTGGCGATTGGCGATTGGCGCCACTGGGCGCTGATAAGATGTGCGATACGGATAAGGAATACGATTAGCGGATGTTCTGCTTCCGCGGTGGAGTGGAAACGGAAACGGAAAAGCATTTCCTGGCATACATAGTACCACCTGAAGTGCGATGGTCCTCAAACGGAAGATGGCCACCGGCACTTCAATCGCAGAGAGCGCAATTTATTGAGGTTAAAAGCGGTCACCAGCCACTGGACGACGTCGAGCATTATCAGACGTATCGTTGATAAGCTGATGGGGTGGGGGGGGGCACGCGTACGGCGTACCAAAAAAATACGTGGTAAAAACAGACCACACCTCAAATAGCATCAAATAGTGAAGCTTCAAACCCAAACAAAACCGAAATGAAATGAAATGAAATGAATAATAATACTTAATAGTCGTTCATGTCTTTGCTCAGTTTATTTCACAGAGATTTTTGTGGCGTTTCGGTTACAACTAGGGATACGAATACGGTGGCAAGATGCACATCCTACGCTTGATTCTTATTTTCATTTACAAGATTTATTCATCATTCACTAAAAACTATTCAAAAAAATTACTTAAAATAAATCACAGTAGATTTAAGCATTTTTTTGTTTGTTGTTGGTTTTCTTTGTTGCTGTGGGGGTGGGGGGGGGGGGTGGGCGTGGCGAGGGAGCACTCGTGGCTCACAAATAAATAAAAATATAAATATAAATAGCAATATAATAAATAAATAAATAAATAAATTATTAAAAATAGTAAAAAAAAAAAAATATACGAATGGTGCTAAGGAATTAACTCCAAATGGGAAATAAATAGTGTGACGATGGGAAGGCAATGGCAATGGGAATGGCAATGGCGAAGTGGAATGGAATGGAATAATACTAGGAATACGAGTTTAGGAAGTTCGTGGCATGGATTTTGCACAATAAATAAATAAGTTATAATAAATACTAAGTAAAATTCTAAAATGGCATTCGACAAAATTCTCTTTTCTCTTTTCTCTCCCTTTCTCATTCTTTTTCTATGCATAGCTAGCGACTTATAACTCTATCTCTATCTCTATCTCTTTCTCTTTCTCATTCTCATTATCTTTCTCTTTCGGTTTGTGTGTCTCTCTTTGTGTGTGTTTTGGCTTGGCTTGGCTTGGCTTGGAAGCGGCTTGGAATGCTGCAGCTGGAACAACTGGAAGGAGGTACTGGTACTACGAACTACAGACTACAGACTGTGCACAGCATTCGCTTGGCTCTAATACTGGAGGAGGCGCACAGGGCGGGGCTGGGGCTGGGGCTAGTGATGGGACTGGGACTGAAGCTGGAGCTGGATTAAGTGTGACTAGGACTCAGCATTCCACCGACCCACTGGCGCCGCAGTCGGATCCGTTGGCCATGGCCGCATTGGAGAGGCCTATCTCGATGCTCTCCGAGCCGGAATGCCCCAGGGAGCCTGCTCCCTGTCCGGTTGCGACACCCGCTGCCGCTGGCACTGCCACAGCTCCCACCTGTTGGCGACGCTCCTGGCTGTTGCGGTGCTGCTTTCGCAGAGCGCGGCGCAGTGTCTTCCACACGTTGTCCAAATACTGGATGTAGAGCTCCTTGGTGACCTTGAGGTCGCGCTCATCCGCCTCCTGGCTACCGTCGGCCGGCGTATGGAACCGCAGCCGCTCCAGCATCGCCGCCCGGCTGACGCGGCTTAGCTTCGCCCCGTTGCTGTTCGGGTAGGAGGCGTTGATGGTCGTCTCGATCTCGCAGAGCATGCTCCGCGCGCTGACCAGCAGATCGTGCAGCTCGTGGGTGACGGCGTTCAGGTTCTGCTGATGCTCCTTGCGGTACTTGTACTGCGCCCGTCCCAGGTACGAGAAGCTACCCACGAAGGTCTGCATGTTGCGGTACCAGGTCTTCAGCTTCACCTGTGGATCAGATCGGTAGGGTGGGGTGGGGCGTTAGTTTCATTCGAGCCAAAGAAGGAAGGACATGCAAATCAGGCTGCCAGCAGCCAGCAGCCAGCAAATGCATTGAGAGAGCGGTGCAATGAGCGACAGGGAAACTGGTCTCAGCCGCCCAGGGCGGAGCCGGTCCGCACTCATCACTTGCGGAACACCGAACACCGAACATCGAACACCGAACACCGATCGCCCATCGCTCATCGCTCATCGCTCGTCGCTCGTCACACGATCGGGGGGCACTCGATCCACTTAACTTACCGCATTTGTGGGCCGCGTCATGTTTGGCAGGAACTTGTACTCGCGCTGCCAGTGCTGGTAGTTGCCGTACTCCAGTTTGGCGCTGCTGCGGATGAATTGGAACTCGCTCATGGTGATGTTCCGCAAGGCGACCAGGTGCTGCAAAGGGAAGAGCAACGCAAACAGGCGGCGATCAGTAACAGTAACAGAAATGGCAATGCATAAGAAGGATGCGGATGGGGATGAGGGATGAGGATGAGGTCGTGGGCCCATCCTTATGGCTATGCCTTACCTTTCTCTTGATTACGCGTCCCTGGCTGGAGCTGTCCGCATCAGCGGGCAGGCTCTCGTCCGGCTGGTAGACCCCACCGCAGGGATTCTCCCACTCGGGCGCCTGTGGGGTGCTGGAGAAGAGGCGCAGGTTGTGGCTGCGCGCGTGTCGGGTGCGTTGACGGCGCAGCTCCCGGCGTGCGGCCCTCATGGCCACTTGGGCGATCTCCTCGTAGCTGCTCTCGCTCAGGCTCACATCACTGTCGTAGCTGCCCTCGCCGAAGCTGTCCTCCAGTCCGTGGAAGGGGTTCACATTCCACGCGGACAGCCTATCCGCCGCTGAAGATGCGGCGGACGATGCGGAGGACGATGACGATGACGAGCTGATGGAGGCGGCCGCTGAACGGGCTGAGCCGGAGGCATCTTCGTCATAGGCATAGTCGAGCGCCACCTGGTCGTGCAGGTGGCGGGCCTGTGGAAGCGGCATTAGAGCAGCCAGGGTCATGATCACGAGCAGAAGGCGCCTGCTGCTGCTGCAGTTGCAGTTGCAGTTCCACCTGCAGTTGTGTGACCTGCTGCCGCTTTGGCTATGTGGGAAAATGTTTGCTGCAAGGCAAGGCCAGAGAGGAGACTGATTAGAGCGGGTTGTGAAATTAGGCGGTCGCAATCAGGTTCGTACCGTTTAAGGCAAAGGCTGGCATTGGCAACATGGTCTGCTGTCTGCTGTCTGCACGATTAACACTAACGAATATCACAAATATCACTACAAATCCCGGTCGAGTGCAAGATCGATGCGAGCTCTCTCTCTCTGACTTCTACTCTACTCGGCGGCGGCTGCTGACTAAATGACGGCCGCTGCAGCGCCGCTGGAAGATTTGAAGCCGCCGACGCCGCCGCCGCCGCCGCCAGCCACTCACAACTCATCAGACATCGCGTCGCAGCGTACTCACGCACTCACTACTCCCATCACACTCACACTCACACTTACGCTCACTGAGAGAGTGAGTGTGAGTGCAATTACAGCCTCTGCTGTCTCTCCTGCCTCTGCTGCCTCTGCTGCCTCAGTCACAGTGCGATCTACAGGCCGAAGAGAGAGAGCAAAGCCAAGCCAAGCCAAGCCGAGCCGAGCCGAGACACAGCGTGTTGGTTTAGGCCCGAAAGCGAGCAAATACTTGCCAAGATTGAGTAATTTTTTGTTTTGTTTGAAACGGTTTTCTGAGCGTTTGTCATGTGCTCGCTCTCTCTGTGTCTCTCACTCCCACTGCTCTCCCGTTTCGGCAGAATTTCACAAGAGATTCGGATTACTCATAGTATTTTGGGTTTTTTATGCGTTGCCAGACGTGGCCCAGACTCGCGAGCAACAGTCGCAGTCGCAGCCGCAGCCCAACGATGACGTAGTCAGAGCCCCACATACCCATTTCTCGCCCCTGCGGCAAATCGTCATCGATGGAGCGTCCGCTCCGCTCCGCTCGATTTTAAATTATTCGTATTTCGTACTGGCCTGGCCCGCTCTCGGCCTTTTTCGCTGTTGCTGCTGGCTGCTGGCTGTTGCTGCTGGCTGTTGCTGTTGCTGTCGCTTTTTCGCCGCCTCGCTCTGCTCTGCTCTGGCCCCTAGGCACTCTACGCCGGCTGTTGCCGTAGGTCAGCGACTTGATAACGCCAACGCCAACGCCAACGCCAAAGCCCGCAGATGGCTGGGTTGACTTGACGCTACAAGGGGCGACGTCGACTGCGATAAGGCACGTGCTGGTGCTGTTGCTGTTACTGTTGCTGTTACTGTTGCTGTTGCTGGTGCTGCTGCCCGCCCCATAGCACCCCCCCAGCTGTTGGCTGGGGCTTTAAATCTTGCGATCACCTGGCCGGACCAAGGCCATAATTGGCCCGGTAATCGAGGGCGAAGGAAAGTTCTGGTTGGATGAGTGCCCCGAAATGCCCGAATGATGATTAATCGAACACCTTCCACCTTTATACGGCTGGTAGTAAACCGTTTTACGGCCTCTGCGATCAATCGAAAGCGAATCCGATCTCCATTCGGCCCTTTATTGGCCCACTGCGATGTCTTCACAATCGTAATAGTGTCTGGCATATCAGAGCATTATTGCACGAGAGCATGAGAGCACGGAGCATGAGAGCACGGAGCACGAGAGCATGAGAGCACGGAGGCTCGATAGCGGTACCAAAGCTCCTCGCAAACCAGAGCGAAGTGCACGGAACGAAGGACGGATTTGGATTTGGATTGAAGTCAGAATCTGAATCTAAATCTGATCTCTGCCTGGGAAACTATTTCCAAAGCAAACCCTGCTATCTATCTGATATCTCTTCGACTGCTTTCAGAGGCGCGATTATGAACTGTTCGACTCGGCCGAGCTTCGCTTCGGGCCTCGCATCGATCTGGCGGGTATTCACACCAGAAAAGGCAAAGGCAAAGGCAAAAGGCAAACGGCAGTAACAGAATCACAGGCAAAAACAGTGGCAAAGAGAGAGAGAGTCAGAGAGAGAGAGGCAGAGCGAGAGAGAGTGCTGCGCTCCCAGAGGAAAAGACACTGTGTATTAATCATGGGGAAACGACGCTTCACGAGCAATGATCTTTTTTTAAACAATTGCGAAACGCGATGGAAGTAAGTTATCTTTTGGGAAGACAGTGATCTAATTGCGGGGCCCAGCGATAGGAATATCCCGAGAACCTTTGGACTCGCACCCCCGCTACCCTACTGCTGCTGCTGCTGCGTACTTACTTTGATGGCACATGTTGCCGGTCGCCGCCGGATCACTTTCTATTTTGATTTTGGCACACTCCATTTGGCTTATATGTATGTGTGTGTGTGTAGATATTTGTAGATATTATTTGTAGGTATTTATGTAGTTAGGAGTACTGTATTTTGATTATGGCTGAATACTGTGGTTAATATTTAATATAATACTGCACGTCGGCTATGCACGCACTGCACCGACAACTTGGATCCCTTGGATCAAATAAACTTCGATTCGGATTCGGATTCGGATTCGATCTTAGTGAAGTTCTTTGGCACTTTGTTCAGTATACGGAGCCACAGGCTGGGACAATTAGCATTGGCGTGTGTCTAAGCGAAACTGATTCATGGTCTCGGGCCGTCGCATAATTTTATATTTATACGAAAATCGGTCGTCCGACTGCGTGTGAGGCAGTCCCAGGCCGAGACGCCGCAGTCGCTGTCGCAGTCGCCGTCGCAGTCGCAGCGTTCGATAGTTCCCGATGTGTGTCTCTAACGTTTAGAGCCTGCTATCTCCTCGACAGCGCAGTCCGCAGTCCGCAGTCCGCAGCTCGCAGCTCGCAGCTCGCAGTTTCGCAGTCAGCAGCAGTCGTCGCCGACGTCAATGCGAAGTGCCGTCGTGCGAAAGAATCGGAATCGGAGTCAGAAGTGCGCGCCACGCTTATAATTATTATTGGATTTGATTCGATGATTGCCCCAGCCCCAGCCCCAGACCCATCCCCACGCTCCATGCCCCATGGCCCATGCCCCCCAGCAGCAGCAGCCCCCAAAACACAAACCCTCACCCCCCCATCGCATTTATTTATTCAATATATTTACCCATGATATTTATTTTTCATCAATTGCGTATGAAGTGGTGGGAGGGAGGGTGGTAGGGAGGCTCAGCTCAGCTCTGCCGTTGGCTAAGGTCCGTTAGGTCCCATACCCTCCCGTACACCTCCACCCTTCTCCATTCATAATGCGACAGGGGATTTTTCCTCAACGAACACACACACACACATGTACGGGCAGGGGTACGGGCAGGGGCAGGGGCACGGGCAGGGGTACATGTGTCTCATTATGTACACCTTCACTTTGTTGTCTGCCATGGAGGTTTTTGTTTGCGTCACTTGATGGTGCCCCATTTCACAGTACCCCAGTCCACAGCTCCGCCGGCAGCCTCAACGCGCACTGGGCAGCGGCAGGGTGGCCGTGGCCGTGGCCGTGGGCGTGGCATGGCAGATTTCAGCTTCAATGCGAAATTAATTTCATTAGGGGGGATTTTTTCGACATGGCCGAGAGTGGCCATGGGAAATCAGGGTGGAAACAATGGAGAGATCGATCCCTCCTCCTCCTCCTCCTCCCCCCCCCCCCCCCCCCCCCCCCCCCCCCCCCCCCCCCCCCCCCCCCCCCCCCCCCCCCCCCCCCCCCCCCCCCCCCCCCCCCACCCACTTCGATGATTCTTCTTGCCCCGGCAGCGACAAGCGACGAGTGACGAGGTGATATCAGCGCTTCCACACATAAAATTTCAAGCTCACTTGAAGCCGGTATCGGTATCGGTGGGTCTCGGTATCGGTCTCGGTATCGGTCTCGGTATCGGTCTCGGTCTCGGTCTCGGTCTCAATGCTAAAACCAAGTCGGGGTTGGTACATGGATGGGCTCGGACTTGGGTATACCCGTACTCGTACCCGTACTCGTACTCGTGGACTCTATTCCACAGCCCTATTCGGCTGTGTTCGTTCATGATTTTCCAGACATGTTTGGACAAGCATGCGGACCCATGGCTGAAATGATTGGCGATAGGGGCTTGGGGCTTGGGGATTGGGAAAACACTTCCACACTCAGATTGATAAAAAGATTAAAGTATAAATTATATTTGATTTCATTTCATTACCCTCTGAAATGCTGCTAAAATTATATCATGTGCTGGAACTAAACCTGAAACTAATTGACGCACATTCACATTGACATTCAGATTCAGATTCGGTTGTGTTGCGGTTAGGCTAGGAATCGATGGGGGATGGCCTGTGGAGTGCGATCGCATCGTTAGTTTTATAGCTTAATAGTTTTGGTCGCTAATTGTAATCTTGACCAAGTTGCTGCGTACTTTGATTTCCGATCGATCGCCGTAGAGCGAGACTGCAGCTAGATAATCATGCTCCGCCTCTGCGCCTCTGCGCCTCTGCGGTCGCACCCCAACCGCAAACCCCCAAACCCAAACCCCAAACCCCAAACCCAACCCACGCCCAAGCCAAGGGTCCACTCCAGCTCATGATATCATGATCCCGTAATTGAGGAAAAATGGGTTTTTTGTCTTATCAACGCCTGTTCTCAGGTAAGGTAATGTGATCACCGCTTAAAGCGAGCGCCGAGCGCCGATCGCCGATCTTTGTCCCCTGGGACCAAGGGCAGCGGCGCATTGCCTCAACACCCAAATACTCCGCCACTCATCATCACACATTCTACACCCCCCCCCAACCGCACTCTAACACGTCTCGTCTTGTCTTGTCTTGTCTTGTGGGGGTATGTATATCTTTTAAAGTTTGTGCGTCGATGACACCTCTCTCTCTCTGCTCTCTCAGAAGGGTTGCTAAACGTAGTCCCTAGCTCGCTAGGGATGACGCGTGTCATAGCTGACGCGCTCTTGTCAGATTGCGGCACTGATAAGGCAGCGTAGCCTGGAAAACTTTTGTGCGCCAAAGCCAAAGCTGAAGATATCCCCCCAACCGGTTACCAGGTACCCCGCCCCATCAATCAGTCGAAAATTGGCGAGCGCCTGCGGGGTGCGATCTCT